AAATGCATTCCAGGAGGATCCGTTCCTACCTCGGATCCACGGAGGCGCCCACACCCTGTCAGAACTCTATCTGTCAGGAATTTATTACTAATGCATTTTATAACAGGCTTTATAATAAGATATGAAAGACTGTGGCAGCATCTAGCACGCAGTCCATAAATATTAATAATGCCTTCAGAGATGGCACCCACGGTGGAAGTGGTGGGGCCGGTTGCTGAGGTTTGGTTAAGAGCACAGAACACATCTCATGGGGGCTACACCTCGAAAGGACACGGCTGCACTTTCCCTTCTCCTGTCTTCCTTTCTCTTGCCACGCCTTTGCCCCTGTAATATCTTTTTCCCCTTTAACTTGTCACTTTCTCCTCAACTTTCTTTCCTTCTCTTTTTTCTCACACACTCCCCGCCTCATCCCTGTTTCCCCTTTGGCCCCCATTTCTGCCCCTCTCACCACCCCATCCTGGGTTTTTTGTCCCCTTCCCTTCTCCCTCGCCCTGCTCTCCCCTTCCCCTTTCTTCACACTCCCTCCATCTCCGTTTTCTCTGCCCTCCCTCTTTGCCTCTCTGTCTGGCCCTCTTTCGTCCTCAGTGTGTGATGCATGCCCCCACACGTTCCAGTCAGCGCCCCGAGCCACCTCGGTAGAAGCCTAGAGTGTAATGTAACTCACACTGCATGTGAGAAGTGAGCTATTTATCATTATTATTAACGAACAAGATCCCTTGCACGGCCGAACTTTCCCAGAGTCTATTCCCTTGTCACCCTGGGAGTAGGGAAAAGATTTATTTGTCTGTGAATTGCACAGGGTGGCCCATTTACAGCAGGTCCATCAGAAATGACATGGAGCTTAAATGGGACCTGGAAGAGGCAGGGGTCTGCCCTGTCTGCCACCTGCCTGCAGTGGGCCCCTTGCTGGGGGGCACAAGTGGGAAGGTGTAAGGGGATCATGCCTATACACATTCCCTGGCTCCCAGGAGGCATGAGTGGTGCATTTTGGGAGATTTCCATTGAAGTTACCCAGCAGCCACGAGGGAGTGGTGGGTCTGGGCGGGGGGTGCTATGGGGAAGGAGCACAGGAAGCAGAGCTGGCATGCAGCAGTGGGCCCAGAGGCCGGCCTCAGAAGCGGAGTGATCACATTCCACGGGGCCTTTCCTCCAAAGACCAGCTGCTCCTTTCCAACAAGAAGGCGGACCCAGAGCCAATCTGCACAATGAATATGCAGAAAGAAGTTGCCCTAGAGTGGGGGAGCCCTCCCTACAGCTGAAATGTGCCTTTGGCCCTGCCTCCATGGCCCAGGCTCGCTCTGGTCATGGTTCTGTAGACCTTGAACCCCAAGCCCAGGCACCATAAGGGCAGGCACCTTCTCCCCGGTCTCCTTGCCTCCAGGCGGGCGGAGACGGGCTCTGAGGAGCATCTCTCCTCCAGGCCTGTCGTGGCTGATTGCATCATGCCCGTGATCGGGCTGTCCCCTGCCCGCCTCTGCCACCCCCACATGCATGCTGATCATTTTTTGCAAAAGATTTTATTTATTTATTTTTACAGAAAGGGGAAGGGAGGGAGAAAGAAAGGGAGAGAAACATTGATATGCCAGAGAAACATTGATCAATTGCCTCTCACACACCCCAAATTGGGGCCTGGTCTGCAACCCAGTCCTGTGCCCTGACCAGGAATTGAACCCGCAAGCCTTTGGTTTACTGGACAACACCCAACCCACTGAGCCACGCCAGTCAGGGCTGCATGCTGATCATCGCAGTGACCTGAGTGGTCTGCATATTTAAAAGAGACACTTAAGAAGAAGAAGGAGCCAGCATTCATTCATCCGGATGGTTCTATTCTCCCCATTATAACCTCCTATGCCCTTCACAATCTAGGGTCAGTGGCCAGGAGCTTTGCTTTTTGTGGTCCAGCTGTGGACATTAAAGGGGTGGAATCCTATCCAGGAGAGGATAAGGGAGAGTCTGGGTCAAGGCTGCAGGAATGAGGGGGCTTTGCCTGGGGATGAATGCATTCTGGGGGGCTGGAAAGAGTAAGAAGCTGAGACCCACAGAAGCCAGTGTGAGCAAAGGGGGTATGCACACAAGAAGGACAGAATAGATCTGGCTTCAGCACCACAGCCAGGGACAGGAAATGAAGTCCAGGCAGGACCTATGAAGACCAGGGCAGGGGGACTCCCAGAGCCGGTTGTCTCTGTCTTTCTCCGTCACTGTGCTTCATCCTTCTCAAGATGGGTGCCCTCTGCCTGCCCATGGCTCCTCCGCCATCCTTCCACCTGTGGCTTCTATGTGGTGTCAACTGTCATGGCACCCACACCAGCCCTAACCAGATAATAAGAATCTTCTTCTCCAGGTTCCCACAGAAAATTGATTTAACTTACAATGTCCCATCTAATTGGACTATTAGAGTCAAGTGGTCATGCCCAGACCAATCAGATGTGGCCTGGGTCTGAAGTCACTTGGTACAAACATGGCCACCTAGATCCATCCCTTTGAGCAGAGAGAGCTAAGGGTATGAAGAGCATCTTTACTTAGAAGGAGGGTGAATGGGAAGGCAGTGGCGGGCATCTCTGGGTGGGTGACAAAAACATTAACATGGGCCAAAGCACCTGATCTCCAGTCACAGCTCTGCTCTTAGCCACCTCCAAGACCTAGAGAAAGGCACAAACCCTCACTTTTCCCATCTGTAAAATGGGGCAGCTAGATGGATAATCTTTCCAGCTCCTACTTTTAAGCCTTTCTTGAGTGGTGTGTGGTCAGGCCTGGCCGCTGTGCTCAGGAGTTTTCTTGCCCTCCAGCCCCGCCCCCGCACTGACTCCTGCATCAGACCCCACCCCTCCTCTTACAGGCTCTTCAAACCCACATGGGAGGGTCTCCACAGGTCCTCCTACTGTGACCCTGTCAGCATCAACCGTGAACCAGTCAACTGAGATGTTCTCCTGAATTTTAAAATGCCCATTTGTCTAAGTTCATGGTGAAGAGATTGACTGCTTACACTGGTTCTGATATCCCCCCCCCCTTTAAATAGGACTCATCTCAGACTGCCTGTGATGGTATTTTATTACCATAATAATAATTGCAACGACCATTTATTGAGTATTGCTCAATATTGCTGTGTGCCTGGCTCAGCAAGAAGCTTTTATTTTCCCCCACACCTTATCTTATGTAATCTTTCTCACAACCCTAGGAGGTAAGCACTGTGATTAGCTGCCTTTTTGCATTTTCCTTTGAGGAAACTGAGGCCAAAAGAGTAAGTTTAACAGCATGTGCCTGAGGTCTCCAGCCAATGAGTGGAAAGGCGGGGACTCAAACTTGGAGCCCACGCTCTGAGCCACCAAGTTTTACTGCCCGCGGTGTACTTGGAATGCCAGGTGCACCTGGAGCCGCAGAGGAAATCTGCTTGCGTAGACCCGTGAGCACATCTGCCTGTTTCCGTGGAACGGCAGCTGGGTGCTCGGAGGAGCCCCCGGTGCGTGCTGATGGATGACTGTCCCCTCACACCTCATTTCCCTGACAGAGCATGGCGCTCAGGACCTGAAATGCAGGAAGTCAGCATTCTCTTCTCTCCAATGGCTTGTCCCTCCTAAGAATATGAATGGCTCTTTGCCAGGCCTATTTAAAACATTTTCTAAGTTATGCAGAAATTAAGTGGGTTTGCACTGCAGGGCATGAAACATAAAAGCCAAGAAGGTCAGACACTGGACCATGCCTTCTTTTCTTCCTTTTCCTCTGTCTTCTTGGATCATGCTCTTAAATCTGATCAGGGGCCCTTCACAGCGACCATGTGGTATGGGCGGGTGAAGTGTCCTCTCCTCCCTGAGGCAGGGGCTACAGCACTGGGCGCTGGCTCCATTTGGGGTGTGTCGGAAGCACTGTGAAATCAGAGCATGTCCCTCCCTCTCGTGGCAGGAACCACAGGTCCTAATGGAGTGTTTAGTTCTGGAGCGTGGGGCTGACTCTGACACTCACGTGACATGTGCATGTTGGGGGGCGGGATGGGGCTGGCAGAGAGAGAACGGTAGGTTAGCTGAGAACATCATAAAGATCTCCTAAGACCAGTGCCACCGCTGTGGCTTGGCAGGGTAGAGGCTGGCTTCACTGAGCCCAGCACTAGCCTGGGCTAGTTCAGTCCTGGGCTTTGCACATGGTGGCTCTGGAGAAGTATTTGAAGAGTCCCTATATCCATGAGGATCCCCCAGGAAATAGTTCATCTCAGTACTTCCAATAAAGGCATTTCGGTGAAGAGACAGAGCCTGGGTGCTCAGAGGAGGGGTGGGTATGGCTGGGGGGCATTAAGAGATGCTAAGGTACCAGAGACTAGCAGCAGTGGGAGGCTCCTACTGCCCCTGGGGCTGAAGAGGGAAGGGAAGGGGATAGTGCTGCCAGAGGCCACCAAAAGCTGGGGCTAGGGAGAAGGGGCTGCTGGGCTGGAACCAGGGGGAGTAGGGAAGTAACACCCCAAACTGCTTCTCTTACTGACACCTCCCCAAACTCTGAGCTCTTACCATCACCTTCATTGTCAGAAGCCAGCCAGCAAGGGAGCCTGGGAACACAATGAGGTCACCGTAGGATGGGCAAATGGATGGGGAGGTGGAGGCAGAACAGGGCACTCAGTGGATCTGGGGGTTCGGTGCAGACAAGGAATTCCCAGCACAGTATCATTAAAATTCACGGTGCTTCTTGATACCACCCTGCCCTACCCTTGAAGATGTGTTCTTGTCTGCAGTCCTCTAGAAGGTATTCAGACAATAAAATCACAACTGCCATCTTTGAAGCACTTGTTACATGTTAGGAAGTTTGCAGTTACGAGTTCCTGTATGCTTCATATGCGATGTTATTAACTTCAGTGTGCAGAGAGGGGATGGAGGGTCAGCAAGACTGAGCAACTAGCCCAAAGACACACAGCAAGGCTGGGGTTCCAGCCGGCCGAGACCTGTCCATCCCAGGAATCCTAGCACTGGTCCTCTCTGCCTCCTCGAACACTTGATTCTCTTCTGGAGGAAAAGGAGAGTGTCTGTTTCCCAAGCCACAGCACTGAGGAGGCAGACCTAGCAAAGGAAAGCAGTTTTGGAAACCCAGAGGTGTGAGAGAGCCTGCTGGATTTGAGAAGTACAAATAGCTCTACCTGCCGGGGAATATTAAATGGATAAGAACAGATACTAGACATGATCTTAGCTAAAAGGCCAAGAAGCCATACCTGCCAGGAAATAAAGTGTAAAGGTCAGAGGCAGGTCCAGCCCATGAGGGCCTGCGTTCTGTTCAAAGGGGCACTGGGGGGCCGTGCACGTTGTGGAGGAGAGGGGCCACCCCGTCCGCCTCCGGTCCTCAGTGCTGGGTGGAGAGCAACTGCCCCTGCACTGAGCCTGACACTTGCCTGGTGATGGAGAGAACCCGCACACTCAGTCAGAAGCCGTGGCAACTGCACGGCTTTTTCCCTGGGGCCCCCCTCCAGCCTGACTAGGGACCTGACTAAGGACCTCCTTACCTCAAACAGATAGCCCCAGAGTGGGGCTGTTGGCATGCCCACACCTGGTCCACAAGGAAGAAGCTGCCCAGAGCAGTGAGGCAGGGCCTTGGTCATGGCCAGCAGCACGGAGAGGGGGCAGCAACGGAGGTGCCCTTGTGAGAAAGAGCCCTGCAGGTGTCAGAAGGGACCCAGTCATTGTCCCAGTGTAAAAAGAGCACAGAGGACCAGAAATACTGTGTCTCTGCCCTCAGGGAGCTTACGGTCGGTCCCACACTCCTGGCTCACAGGTACCACCCATGCTGGCAGTTGACCTTAGCGTCACACGGAAGAGTTAGGGAAAGAACAGCCATCGATATTTTGGAGAAGTGTTTAGTATAGAGCCTGAGGTCAGGGGCTAGACCCGAATCGAGGCCTTTCGTCACTGCCTAGCTCTCGTGCCTTGGACAAGCTCCTTAACCTCCCTCAACCGCAGCTTCCTTTTCGAAAACCGGGCAATAGCTCCCGCCCAGAAAGCTGCGTGTCACAGATGCAGCCCCCGGCGCAGGACCTGGCACCTAGCAGTCAGTCGGCGAGAGCAGAGATTTTTACCGTTCGTCTCCGTGAAGGGCCTCATTAGATTGCCTGTCCTCAGATGTGTCCGGAGCTCACTAAATTATGAATAAATTAACCCATCCAACAGTTAGCAGGCACGGCTTGCCACCCAGGCATTGCGGCGGGCGCCGCAGTGATGAAAGCTGACAGCTGGGCAGGGGATGCAATGAGATACTCAAAATATAATGTGCTGCATGCTCGCAGAGATTCCTTCACGTCTTCATAGCGGGTATTTATCGACTGTCTGACACGGGCCCAGCACTGTGCTGGGCAAGGCAGATAGAGCCCCCTGGCTTCTGCAGAGCACATGGCGATGAGGGAAAACAGGCACTGACCGAGGAATAATAGAAACGTGGGGGACCCTGAACATAAACATGATGTGGGTGGGGGTCTGGGGGGCTGTCCTGCCCGGGGATCTTCCTGCCCAGAGGAAGTTGCATTTAACCAGAGACCCCAAGTCAGAAGGCAGCTGGGGTCTGTACAAATTATATGGCAGAGGAAATCACAGAAGGCTCCCAGGATGTGGTGACATTTGAGCAGGCCTTGTGGGCCCCTCTGATGGCAGGTTGCCACAGCCCAGGGATGTTGTGTGCGTGCCCCACCCCAGGGAAAAACCTAGAAGTCACCTGACACCACAGGTAACCTCTGTGGTGCCAGGCCAAGCCCCCAGGGCCCCTGCCACATGCCCACAGCATACACCTCCCAGCTCCCTGCCCTTGAAATAGGGAGACTGGCGGGTGTCCTCCAGAGCAGTCTGGGCCTGAGGCTCAGGCAGGCGGGGCATGCTCAACAGAGGAAGCAAAACTGCCGAGAAGCAGGGGTTTGGGGACCGAAAGGCTCTCATCCAGAACTCCAGGATGAGCAGATCATCTTTGGAACTGGTGCTGTTATAGCCACCAGGAGGCCATCAAAAAAAGAAAAAAAAATAGATACTGCATTTTAAATTCCTCTGAACCCTCTTAGAATAAAAATGACAAGGCCGCGGGCCTGGTTGGCTGGATGGACGTGGTTAACGGGCTTTGGGGGAATAGTCACTGATGAAGGCAGCTGCTCCGAGCTCCACTCACCCTTTTGTTTGCTTTGCTTCACCCCAGAACACACCGGTGGGGACGCCCATCTTCATTGTGAATGCCACAGACCCCGACCTGGGCGCAGGGGGCAGCGTCCTCTACTCCTTCCAGCCCCCCTCCCCGTTCTTCGCCATTGACAGCGCCCGTGGCATTGTCACGGTCATCCAGGAGCTGGACTACGAGACCACACAGGCCTACCAGCTCACCGTCAACGCCACGGTGAGTTGCCACGCTGGGGCCCTGGCGACCAGGTGTGGCCTCCTCCCGCCCTTGAAGGGAGTGACAGAACCTGCGCCTCAGGGCTCTGTAGCCATGATGTTAGCAACAGCGGTGATAATGATGACAGCCGATGTTACTGAGGGCTTGGGCTGTGTCCCTGGTGCTGGGCCGAGCACGCAGATGGACTGTCTTCATTAAGCCTCATGAGAACCCTGTGCCATAAGTATTATGAAGATACCTGGGGCACAAATGAGGAAACTGAGGTACAGAGGCATTCAGGAACTTGTCCACAGTCACCCAGCAGGTGGGCTCCAGCACCTGCCCTGGGAACCCCACAGAACAAGTACAGTGTAGGATGCCCTCTCTGCTGTCTGGGGCACAGCACAGGGGCATGACCCCCACCGGTCCTGACACCACCCAACACACTGGAGGCAGAGGGGGCCTGGCTGCCACTCTAGAAAGCCAACACTCAGTAGGGACTCCCGTCCGTGCCAAGCACCGAGCTGGGCCCCTCGCAGTCCAGGACCAGTCATTCAGGAGAGGCGGATGCAATGGAAATATTCACCCCATTTCATGTCTCACACTGTTGAGACTCACAGCGGCGGACAGTGGGGGAGCCAGAACCCGGAACCAGGTTGTCCAGTGCCCGGGTCGGTGCCCGTGACCTGAGGCTCTGAGTCTCCAGAGCACCACGGCCATTTTCATTTGTTGCCAGCTGTTTGCTAGGGCCTTGGGGACAGACAGACCACACCCTAAACCTGATCCTACCCCTGCACTCCCCTCTTTCTAGCCCCTGGCCACTGCCTCTGGGCACAGCTGGCACCTTCAGCTGGTAGCAAGGCGAGTAGATTTGTTTACAAACTCAGGTCAAGGGTGAAACAAATTGCCGGAGTCCCTCTTGACCAGGGCTGCCAAACTCATTTCCACGGGGGGCCATGTCAGCCTCGAGGTTGCCTTCAAAGGGCCAAACGTAACTTTAGGACTATATCAAAGTAACTGCTCCTTAATTAGGGGCAAGGAGCTCGGCGCTGCTGCCGGGTAGAAACAAGGTGCCAAGCCAGATAAAACAAGGTGGAGGGCTGGATTCGCCCTCGGGCCTTGTGTTTGCCACCTGTGCTCTAGACTCTCGGGGACCCACTTGCCTGACACACAGCCTCTACCCCCTGGCTCCATGCGACTGTGGTGGGGTTGCCAGTAGTGCTGGGGGCTCCACTTGGCAGATCTCTGGGAAAGACACACTGCATGAATCCAAGGCCTGGTTTTGAAATATGAGGTCCCCGGGCTTGCTCAAGTTGCAGTGGCCCCTGGAGAGCCACCGCAGACAACACCCTGCTTCTCCCCTGGTCAAGAGCTAGTTGTCTGGAGAAGCTGTGTGCTGATATTTGCAAAGCTGACTTCTGGGATCAGGGGCACACGTGAGGCCGGAAGTGGCATTTTGCTCGTACCTGTACCCTTCCGCTCTCCCTGGCACCCACATGTGAGTGGTGCCCTCCTACCACACCTGGGCCCAGCAACACGATGAACCTGTCCTCATGGAATAATTTTCATACCCCATAAAAATGGCTTGGGGAGGGTGGGGGAGAGACCAGAGCGGGCACAAGCATAGACCTGGGTGGTGGGTGCCTGTCGAGAGGCCTGACCTCAAGCTGGGATGGTGAATACAGTTAAATTGCTGTTAATCTCCCAGCAATCAGGCCTTGAAGTGGCAGAACAGGAGGGGCACAGAATTCCCTTCGTTCTGATGACTCCCCCACCCCTGATTCACAAGTCCCTTTCAGAGCTGAGGCTATGCCCTTGGCCACTGGGCATGTCCCCCAAGGAGATTTTCCTATGTGGCCTTGCAGGGAGCAGTGTGGGCTCCAGCCACCACTGGGTGGGGAAACATGAGGTCCCCCCTGGGAACAAGCTGCTGAGAGCCAAAGGCCCCAGACTGACAGCTCTGGTGAGGTGCCTGCCCTTCCAGAAGTGCCCACTGCCATCCCCTTTCTCCAGCCAAGGAGTCCAGGGTAGGCTGGACATGGGTATCTCTGGCAGGGGCAGGACTGAAGCCATGGTGTGGGACGGGGAGAGCCCATGCCAAGCTAGACAAGGCCAGCTGCCAACAAAAGCCTGGTAATGGCAACTGGAGCCACTGCAGGCCCTGCCCCAGAGGTCCAGGGACCTCCTGCCAGGCCTCCCCCTCTGACCCTGGCTGCCTGGTGGTCATTCAGGCCCCTGGCCGAGAGCTCTTACTGTGGACACCATGACTTAGGAGCCTGGCAGGCTGTCTCCCCGGTGGCCCCTCTGCCCAGCGCCTCCTGCCTCCAGACTCTGCCCTCCACTGCTGCTCCCACTCTTCAGCCACAAAGGCCCTTTGCTCTCTCCTTAGTGGACCCTGAGGACTCTTAAAACAACCAGCCCTTCCTTCTCGAAGGGCCTGCAGCTCGGTCAATGGAGGGGAGGAGCAGGCACTGGGTTTGTAAGGTGGGGGTTGCCTTGCATTGTTCAGGTCGCCCCAGACAGGCCAAGGCGAGTCGAAGCTGAGGACAGTCACTCCTCAAATCCCAGACCAGAGAATTTACAAGCCCAAGGTCCCTCGTTTCACTGAGCCCTCTCATCTCACGGAGGGAAACTGAGACTTCCACAGGGAAGAGAACTATTCAAGGTGACCCAGCAGGTCAGATACTGAGCCTCTTATGCTAGCAGGCCCCAAACAAGAAAGTTAAGGGCAGATTTGTATGTCATGAGGACCTGAGTTTGAGTCCTGGCTACACACTTACCAGCCGTGTGACTCGGAACAAGTTACATGACCTTTCTGAGTCACTGTGAACTCGTCTGATGAGCGCCCGCATAGCACCCACACAAGCAA